TGTATTCGGGAAGATGGGGGCTGCCTTTGCCACCATCCCGACCCCGGTGATCGGGGGCATGTTCCTGGTGATGTTCGGGGTCATCACCGCCGTGGGGATCTCCAATCTGCAGGTGAGGCTCGGCAGTCTGAGAAGAGCAGCTGGTGCATCTCTTGAAAAGGGGCAGGGCTGGGGCCGGGGAGGAGGAAAAGGAATCCTTGGTCCCAGACACTACAGTGGTTTCCAAATAGAAGACAGAAACAGCCAGAAGCATCCAGGCTTCTGAAAAACAGAAATTGCCTCGGTTTGCATTGGGTCATCCAGACCACTCAGCTCCCAGGGCCATGTGGGAATCCATGCCTGGTTTGCCCCCTGGGTGTGGTGCTGAGTCCGGCCTCCCTCCCCGACCTCTGGTGGCAGCGGGAGGGGAGGGGACCCTGGGTAGGGGAGTTAGAGTGCCGGGCAGTACAGGTGCTGATGGCTTGGGGCTGCCATGGGTGCCTCTCTCCTGCAGTATGTGGACATGAACTCATCCAGGAACCTCTTTATCTTTGGCTTCTCCATCTACTGTGGGCTCGCCATTCCCAGCTGGGTGAACAACAACGCTGAGAAGCTCCAGACAGGTGAGTCTCTGTCTTCTAAACTGTGACCGCCCCAGGGGCAAGGCCAGTGGGGACCTTGGTCCCTGGGAATACCTGTTTCTTTTGTCTTCACTCCAGGGATTCTCCAACTGGACCAGGTCATCCAGGTGCTGCTGACCACGGGCATGTTTGTTGGTGGATTTCTGGGCTTTTTCCTGGACAACACCATCCCTGGTAGGGCTCGCCTTTGCTCTGTAGGCTGGTGGTGTGGATAGACTGGAAGCATCTGGCCGGCCCTCATGGCTTCTTGGACCCTTAGTATCATGTCAGGCTGAACATAGCATATCCTGAGCAGGCCCTGGATCTGGGTGGGAGGTATAGGTCCATATTAGCTTTCTAGGACTGCCGTAACAAAGCACCCCAGATTGGTGTAAACAGCCAAAGTGGATTCCTCATAGTCTGGAAGCTAAAAGATGGAGATCAAGGTGCTGGCAGAGTTGGTTTCTCCCAAAGCCTCTCTCCTTGGCTCACAGATGGCTGCCTTCTTGCTGTGACCTCACATGGCCTTTCCTCTGGTGGGTGCCTCCCTGGTGTCTCTCTGTGTGTCCTGAGCTCTTTCTATAAGGACAACAGTCATAATAGATTAGGGTACACCCCAAAGACCTCATCTTTAACGGAATCACCTCTTTAAAGGTCCTATCTCCAAATATATTCATGTTCTGAGACAGTGGGGTTAAGGCTTCAACTTATGATTTGGGAGTGGGGAACCACAATTCAAAGCCCTAAGGTGAGAAACACACCAGAAGCAGAAAGAAAAACAGCTAAGAGCCCAAAGTCTAGTTGGTGAGGGAGAGAACACATGCATTCTTTTCCTCCCTTCCTCTCTCTCTTCTTTTCCTTCTAAAAAACCCACTGAACACTACCGTGTTCCAGACTGTGTCCTGAGAATACAAAGAGCAGAAAGACATGCCTCCCACCTTCCAGAAACCCACGGGCTAACAGGGGAGGAAGACAAGAGAACAGACAACGAGAATAGAGGGTAATACGTGTGGCGAGGAGCAGTCCGAGGGTCCGGGTGCTGAGGATGTCGCAGTGAGGAGTGCAGGCCGCCCTCGTGGATGGCTTTCAATGCTCTCTTCGAGAACCTCCCATGGCCTCTCGAGAGAACCTTTAGGATAGCACCCTCTTCGCGGTGCTCTCTTTTCCACATTTGTTCTCTCCACGTGTAAAGTGCACCTGCATTCTGGAAACACAGCGTGGAAAGACCCGCCCTTTGAAGGTGGGGCAAGGATTGTGCTCATAGAAGATTGTTCCCTCCCGCAGTGGGAACTCAGGGATTGCCCCTGAGATGGGACTCTGGATGGACCAGAAAGAGAAGGTGCTGTTGGCTCGGGGAGGGCGCAGAGCAGAGACCCCACGAGTGCCTGCAGGGGGCGCCAGAGGCCTCCCCGGCCCGGTGGTGCTGGGTCAGCGCCCAGGGCTGACTGCTCCGCTGTCTCCCATTAGGAAGCCTGGAGGAGAGAGGCCTCCTGGTGTGGAATCAAATCCAGGAGGACTCTGAGGAGACTGCGAAGGCCTTGGAGGTGTACCGCCTGCCCTGGGGGATCGGCACCAAGGTCTGCACGTCCTCCTGCACCCAGTACCTCCCCTTCTGGCCCAGGCTGGAAGCCGGGAGCCGGGAGCGGGGCCGGAACCTGCTGGCCTGCCTCTTCCAGGACCCCTCCGGAGCGCGCGGGAAGGGCGCCTCCGAAACCAAGCTGTGACAAGAATGTCCTCACGCCCGCCCCAATGCGCTCTTCACTCCCCCAACCCCAGGAGCTCGTCTGCCCGTCGAGGAGGGGTGGGCACCCTGCACGCGGGGCAGCCAGATGGGTACTGATTAAGGCCATGACGAGGGTGCTGCTTGGACGCCGCAGCCTTCCACGTGCTCCAGCGAAAACCAGCCTCCCACCTCCAGGGTCAGCTCGTGTGACCCAGGGTTCGCCCAGACGCGCTCGGCCCACACATTCTCGGTCATACTTTGATGCCTTGGGACGAAGAGGCCTGGGGTGGCAGAGGGGACGGAGGCGGGGCTGTTTGCTGGAAGGCACCAGGAACAGTTGTCTTTGAGCCCCTCTTGTCCTCCCCCTCCTTGGCACCTGCCCCTCGGGGCTGACTCTTCATGAGAGATGAGGAGGACCCTCTGTTGCCCCAGCGCCTGCTCTGATCTCCGGGTGCTCCTGGCTGCCGCCAGCTCAGGCTGTTTGCCATGGAAGGTTCTTAACGTGCACGTTCTTGGAATCGAGTGCCCGGACTCTGGCTTAGGCTTTGCCCTGCTCGTGCAGGCTGCCAAGGGATCAGAACCCACTCCACCAAAATGGCCTCCCTCGAGAGTGCAGCAGGAACTCCTGCCTGAGTTTCCAGCTGTCTGGTCTGCCCTGCAAATTTCAGATTTGTGGTCTCCACCATTAATACTTAAACCGATAACCTACCCACGTACCCTTACCTATCCTCTCGGGTCTGTTTCTCTGACAGATAGGTGCTGGCTCATACGGGACGATATCAGTCAAGACACAGGAAAATACCTGACCTTTGTAGGAAGAGGCCTCAGTGGGGAGGACGGGAGGGCAAGGCCCATCGGAGGGGATGTTAAAGCGACACATACGTCCTGGGCTGCACCACAGCCAGTGGGCTCTCCCCACCAGCAGCCAGGGTGGGGAGCAGAGGGCTGTTTGGTCTGAAGAGTGGAGGCAGGGACACTCCTAGCACATGGCCACGGGGAGAAAGGACACCGCATTCCCCTGAGGTCTTCCCTGGCCAGGGTCCCCTGCCGCACAATGCTCCAGGAATGAGGGCTGCACCAGAGTGTGTGGGGGCCATTTGGAGCTGGCACGCGTTCCTTGAGGACCTACTATGTGCAGGCACCTCTGTAAAGGCTGATTTCTCCTTTCCCACATGCTGGATTGTCCTTGACCTTGTCCTTCGGGGCCTGGACTGGGGTAGGTGTGAGTGCTCCTCTCCCCTTCCTTCCCAGCACCCGTGTGGGCGACCCCGAGGATAAAGGCCTGCCCGCCCCTCCTTTGGGTGGTTCATCAACAGTGATGGGCTGCCTACGGCCCTTGCAGAGCTGCCATGCGAGCCCTTGGGGGTGGGCTGCTGACAGGACGGAGGGGAGGCGTGAGCCCCGGGGGCTTAGGGCAGGCAGGACGGCGCTCAGGCCCTAACACATAACCCGCACGCCAGGTTCTTCCAGAGGAGATGGAACAGCCGAAGTATTCAAGGGGCCTTCAGGGCACGAGAGCCTCTGTCACGATGACAGGAAACTTGAAAAACCCAGGGAAGCCGTTCTCTGCACGGCCGGCGGGTTAGTCTGGGTTCTCCAGAGAAAGAGAGCCCTGAGGATGTGGGACGTGGGTGTGTGTGCACGCACACACGTCCACACACGATATGCACGTGTGTACACACATACGCAGGGAGAGAGAGATGTTCAGGAACGGGCTGTCATGATGATGCAAGCTGGAATGGCCATCAGCAGCAGGAGAGTTGCTGCTCGTGTCTGAAGGCGCTTCCCTCCCCCTCGTGGGAGGTCAGGCTTTGGTCCGATTCGATTCTCCAGCTGACTGGATGAGGCCGACCCATTTCAGGGACGCTAATTGCTCCACATTTACTCAAAGTCTACCGGTTCAGATGTTTATCTCACCTCACTATACCATCCTAGAAACATCGAGAATCATGTGTGACCAAGTATCGGTAAGGTGGTCAAGCTGACAGACTCTACTGTCCTGTGCAGTGCGCGTCCGGGAACCTTGCCAGAAAGCACTCAGAACCCGGCGGGAGCGGGCTTGAGCTTCATTTAGGTACCAGAAGAGGCAGATGAAGCTCGTTTTACGCTGATGTCCTATAGCTCCTTTAGGACAGGCACGGTCAGCACCTTTCCTGGGCTGCCACAGCATGCATGATGAGCGAGGGGCCTCCAGAACTCTCTAGAACCCATCAGGACTATGCTCCAAACCCAACCTGTGCCAAAAGTACCTGGTGTCATGGTACCTCTGGGGACAAACCCTGCCTGTCCTTTTTTTTTTTTTTTTTTAAGATTTTCATTTATTCATTTGAGAGAGCACAAGCAGGGAGACAGGCAGACGGAGAGGGAGAGGGAGAAGCAGGCTCCCTGCCGAGCAGAGAGCCCAGTGCAAGGCTCGATCCCAGATCCCTGAGACCATGACCTGAGCCGAAGGCAGATGCTTAACCCACTGAGCCACCCAGGCACCCCCTGCCTGTTCTTTCTTGAAAGGCCCATGGACTGGGCTTCGGCCAGGCTGCACCAGGTCCCCCTGAGTAGGAGCAAAGGAAAAGCAGGTGTGTACCTCGCAGCGGGCCAGGTGACCTGACGCCAAACAACTCTGAAAGACTGACACAGAGCCACACTACTTTTAAAGCCTTTATAATAATCAGAACCTCAAACCAACAAAATGTTCTGGGACATTCTGCAATATCCCGGAAGGGGGAGGTGGGTACAGCCTTGGCTGCCGGCATTAATACTTGGAAACTGCCCACTGCCTTCACCCCTTCCCGTGCCAGCCGTTCCGTGTCACAGATCTTCATCGTCAAAGGTCTCCAGGCACCTCAGCATTACCAGCTCATCGTCAATGGACTGGTCTGGTTCCTGCAAAACGTAGGGTGGCAGAGGATCAGCATGTAGTTAAGGAATCCAGGCCCCAGGCATGTGGGACAGCCCCGGCATCTTCCGCAGAGTCTACCCCATCTCTGGCTGCACCTCATTCTCCAGCTTCCGGCCAGGAAGTAAGGGATCCGGGCGGGGGCGGGGAGAGGGGGAGGGATGTCCCATTTCCGTTTCACGCAACTACCACACTCTGTGATCTTCAGAAAGGGTTTTCCTGGACACAACGGAACTGGCTTCTTTTCCATGCTGGACACTTCCAGGATCCCATAAGACAGAGGGGAGACCTCTCCAAGCTTTACCCTAATGCCCCTCAGTGGAGGATAGCAAATTATACCGCAGGGTGCCCACCAAGGGGATGCCACACAGCTGTTTGAAATAACAGGAATGAGGTCATTCTCTGGGGGATATACTATTTAAAAAGAAAAGAGAGGGCATCTGGGTGGCTCAGTCAGTTGTGTCTGACTCTTGGGTTCGACTCAGGTCATGATCTCAGGATCGTGGGATCGAGACCCTCCCACCCCGCCTTTTAGGACCTGTGCTCAGCAGGGAATCTGCCCAAGATTCTCTTTCCCTCTCCTGCTTGTGTCCTTTCTCTCAAATAAACCTTAAAAAAAAAAAAAAAAAGCTAGGTACAACATAACGTGTAGTGTAGGTTCTCATTTGTATTTGAAGGATTATATAAATCTCTGTAGGTTATCTCTGGGTGGTTGTCCCGAAACTAGTAATGGTGATCGCCTTTGGGGAAGTGAATGGGGTGTCAGGAATGGATGCTGGTCGGAGAGAGACTGAGTTTTCTTTGTATTTCTTTTGGTAACTTTAAAGTTTTAAAGTAGGTATGTGGATTAACTACTAACTAATTGTTTAAGAAGTAGCTCTAGGTTATTTAATTCCCTTTATAATGACCTCCCACTGACTTCTCTGACCCCTCATCACCTCTTCCCCTAAAAGGGTGTTCCTGGGTTTAGCTCTTCCTGTGTTTCCCCATCTTGGCAGAAAATGATCCCTATAGTTTGTCATGGGTTGGTCCCCTGGGGCCCTGGGAAGCGTCCCGAAACCCAGTCAACCATCCCATGAATGTGGGACCCGGTCCCCGGGGTGACCAACGGCCAGGTTGGCAGCAGGGGGTCTCTGGGAAAATCACATGGGCCCCCTTATTCAGGGTAAAGACCAGAGCAAAGCTTGAGAAAAGGCAGAGTGGAGCGCAGGAGGCACCAGGAGGCCAAGAGTCCCGGGAAGGACAGCCCATGAGTCTCTGTCACACTGACTGCTTGAATGTTGTTCAGAATGGTATAGTTCTCTAAGCCCCCGAAAATGGTGTCTGAGGTATTTTTAAGCTACAGGGTTGGGAAAGCAAGAGGCTAAGAGAGGTGCCTGCTGGTACTGGGTGCTGAGGTGTGTTGAATCGTATCCTTCCTACCCCAATTCATGCCCACCTGGAACCTTCTTCAGAAACGGGGGCTTTGAAGGTATAATTAGCTAAGGACTGCAAAATGAGCTCCTCCTGGGTTTAGGGTGGGCCCCTAATCCAAAAGACCGGTGTCTTTAGAAGAAGGTGAGAGGGCTAGAGAGACTCCCAGAAGGCCTTGTGAAGGCAGGAGGCCTTGGTGGGAGGGATTCAGCTGTGAGCTGAGGCATGCGGAGGATGGCCGGGAGCCCCCGGAGCTAGGAAGAGGCAAGGAGAGACCTTTTCTCGAGCCTTCAGAGGCGGCATGGCCCTGCCAGCACCTTCATTTGGCCTCTAGCCTCCAGGACTGTGAGAGAAGCAGTTTTTGTTGTTTTAAGCTACTGTGTTTGGTCATTTGTTACAGCGGTCCTAGGTACTGTCCAGGATCTGGTTAAGGTTTCATCCAATGACCTCGTGATGCTGACAGGGGAGAGGGTGGGGAAGAGAACGAGATTTTCCTCACAGCACCGCATAGCCAAGGCCAGGTGCCTCCCGCACCAGAGCCACCTGGACAGCTTGTTCAAAATACAGATTCCTGGCGCCCCGCCTCGCAACAGTGAATGAGAATCTGGGGGTGCTGGGGCTTCAGGAATCTGCGTTTTCAGTTAGCTCCCCGGACGACTGAAGTTCGAGCATCTCTACTTTATTCGGATACTCCAATCCTGTTTGAGCTTTCTTTTCTACTATATTCAGGGAAAGGAAGCAGGGAAAGCCAAGACTGTTCTGTTACTCTGTTCCACAGGCCTCGGGAAGGTGGACTGACATCCCTGTGTCCGAGAGAAACAGGGACACAGTGGTAAGGACCAGACGGCCAGCCAAGGGTTGATGGGAGGTGGGAAGCAGCCAGAGGGGGGGCCCTGGGCTCCAAGTGGAGAGTCGAAGTGGACCTGGCAGAGGGAAGCGAAGGATTCGTGGGAAGAGGCCCAAATTATACTTTGGTCTATTGGAAAGCTGCCCCAATTACTTTTAGACAAACCTTGCCATTATTACTGCTTACCTTTTTAAAGAAACAGTTGTACCTTTGCTGAATTGGTAGAGAAAATCCTTGGCTAGGAATCTGAAAGGGTCTGTCCCCTTCAGGCATAACTCTCCTTCCCTCATGGAAGTTTCTGGGATGTCCCTTCTAATCAAGCCACAGCCAGCTTTGGGGAAGTGGAAATTAATACCCTTCGAACACCGAGAGCAAATATTAGCTCAGGGTTTCAGAAGACGACAGGACAGCATAGCCTCTTGGAAACGAGTCACACAATGTTGACAAATGCCTGCAAAGAGGCCCCTGGGATCTGGTCAACACTTCAGGGGACCCCCTGTCTCAGTCCTGCCCTGAAGACCATCCGTGTGCCTCTTCCCTCAGTTTCCCTGGATGTCTCCCATTCCCCCAGGATGTGTCAGGCTGATGCCCACCATCCACGGAACAGGCCAGAGAACGAAGGGACGTCGGCCCCCAGGGTGAGGTGAGGTGAGGTCCCGCTGGTGGGGAGGCCTCAAGGATCCTTCCCGCCATCCTAAGGGAGGTGAGGCGAGGTCTCCTCGCGCTCCGCTCCGTCCTACCTGTTTTAACTGAGGGTTAATATAGCAAAGGCCTTTAAAAAAATCGATGATCTGCATGTAGAGCTGAAACTTCTCCTCCGGATATTCTGGGTTGCGGCCGGCAAACACTGAACTGATGACAGAAAGGGGAAGAACAGCAATCCTCAGAGCCCTCCTCTTTGGCCTCTGCTGGCCCCCCCTAAAATTCCTGGATTACAGCGTGAACCGGGCACTCGTAAACACCCCATTGAATTCATTCTCAGACAGGCTGGAGCCCCTTTGGAAGGTTTGTGTTGCCTCAGCTTCCGTGTCACGTGTGGAACCCACGGGAAAAGGGAGACCCTGGGGAGACTGGCTTCTGTGCCCTAATTTAGTGTTCTGGGCCGTGGCCTGTGGAAGAAGGAGCAAAATGGCCTCTCTCCCTCAGAGTCCCCCTCAGAGAGCCCCGCCCCGCGGTCCTGGTCCCCATAGCTGCCTGGAGAGCTCAGGGGGCACAGGCCACACTGGAGCTCAGTCCCCTGAGATGTCCCCCTTCCATGGGGGCACGAGCACCAATGATGCAGGGAGGTGGCCTGTGTGGCAGGCTCCTTCCCCCGGCCTTCCTGGGACTGGGGAGCAGTCCCACAACGTCAGGAGCCTGAAGTGCCGGGACAGCCTACGTGTTGACCTCACATTCTCTCAGAAGCGGGTAGCCACATAGAAACCCTCTGGCACCAAGCCCTTCCTTCTCCAGGGATAGCAGAAAACATTTTCTAGTAGGCCGTTTCCATGTTCCATCAGCAGGGCAAGGAATTCCAGATCCTGCTTGGCAAGTACACTCTGGCCACTTCTTACCAAAGTTCTCACAGCCAGAGCCTGGCTCAGAAATAGGAAAGTCCACCTCCAGCCTGTTTCAGCAAAACCAGACCCCACACAGAGCTGATGGGAGCAGGAGTCACCCCCTAAAATCACTTTGGAGGGTTTGGTCGAGTCCCTTGAGGCCGGGTGGAGCTGGCCACTTGTGGGGAGACAGGCTGATGTCCGGTGCCCCCCCACCGTCCCCCAGGCAGCCAGGTGACCAGGGGCTGCGTGGCCTCGGAGGAGAGTGGGGGTAGTCGTTGGAATATGAGGACAGGAATGTCTCCTCACTCCCAAAGCAGGAAAACAAAATGTTTAGGCCTTTTTCAGCCTTCTTAAGGGTCTGTGCCTGCAGGCTCTAAGCCCACAGGTTTTCAAATGGCAAGGGAATTTCAGTCCTAAACCAGCCCTGTCTTGCCCTCTCTCCATATCCCGCTTTGTGTCGTCTCACTCCACAGGGTCAGCTATCCCCTCCTCCCTTCTTTCCACCTCTGTCCCCAGCAGCCCCATGCAAAGCAGCTTCCCCCTGCACAGCTCAGAGAAGCCCTCCGCTCAGGGCACAGGCCCAGTTCCATGTTGGCCCAGGCTCTCGGTGTCCCAGCGCCCCTGCCCAGCTCTCAGAGCAGACGCTGTGGCAACGCCCACGGCCCCCACCCTCTGGGCAGATGGAGCACAAGGACAACCCACAGCCCATAACCTGCTGCGTCTCCATCCTGGGCCAGGATGGGAGAGCCTTCTATGCGCAAAAGCCCCACACCGAGTCCTCCCCAGACAGCCGCACAATTCTAGGCCCAGCCTGCTTTGAACCACAGACAAAGCAGATCTCTGAGAACTTCATGGAATTCTGCACCCCTCTGTCGGGTGAGGGAGCGGCTCACCCACTTAGGGGAGCGGCTCCTAAACACCCCAGCCGCCCCCTCCCCAGACTGTGTCCTACCCTCTTCCTCACCTAGAGCTGGATGTACTGGGAGCCTCATTTTTGTCCAGGAAACTGGCCACATCGAAGGCGTCTTCAAAGAGTATCTGGAGGAAGGCACAGAACATGGTCACTAACAATGAAAATACAGAAAGGGAAATTAGAGAATCAATTCCATTTACTATAGCACCAAGAACCATAAGATACCTGGGAATAAACCTAACCAAAGAGGTAAAGATGGGGCGCCTGGGTGGCTCAGTGGGTTAAGCCGCTGCCTTCGGCTCAGGTCATGATCTCGGAGTCCTGGGATCGAGCCCCGCATCGGGCTCTCTGCTCAGCAGGGAGCCTGCTTCCTCCTCTCTCTCTGCCTGCCTCTCTGCCTGCTTGTGATCTCTCTATCAAATAAATAAATAAAATCTTTAAAAAAAAAAAAAAAGAGGTAAAGAATCTGTACTCAAGGAACTACGGACACTCATGAATGAAACTGAAGAAGACACAAAAAGATGGAAGACCATTCCATGCTCTTGATCGGAAGAATAAACATTGTTAAAATGTCTATACTGCCTAGAACAATCTATACTTTTAATGCCATTCTGATCAAAATTCCACCGGTATTTTTCAAAGAGCTGGAGCAAATAATCCTAAAATTTGTATGGAATCAGAAGAGGCCCCGAATTGCTAAGGAAATGTTGAAAAACAAAAAACTGGCGGCATCACGTTGCCTGATTTCAAGCTTTACTACAAAGCTGTGATCACCAAGACAGCATGGTACTGGCATAAAAACAGACACATAGACCAGTGGAACAGAGTAGAGACCCCAGATACGGACCCTCAACTCTATGGTCAAATAATCTTCGACAAAGCAGGAAAAAATATACAGTGGAAAAAAGACAGTCTCTTCAATAAATGGTGCTGGGAAAACTGGACAGCTATATGTAGAAGAATGAAACTCGGCCATTCTCTTACACCGTACACAAAGATAAACTTGAAATGGATAAAAGACCTCAACGTGAGACAGGAATCCATCAGAATCCTAGAGGAGAACATAGGCAGTAGCCTCTTCGATATCAGCCACAGCAACTTCTTTCAAGATATGTCTCCAAAGGCAAAGGAAACAAAAGCGAAAATGAACTTTTGGGACTTCATCAAGATCAAAAGCTTCTGCACAGCAAAGGAAACAGTCAACAAAACAAAGAGGCAACCCATGGAATGGGAGAAGATATTTGCAAGTGACAGTACAGACAAAAGGTTGATATCCAGGATTATAAAGAACTCCTCAAACTCAATACACACAAAACAGATAATCATATCAAAAAATGGGCAGAAGATATAAACAGACACTTCTCCAAATGAAGACATACAAATGGCTATCAGACACATGAAAAAATGTTCATCATCACTAGCCATCAGGGAGATTAAAATTAAAACCACATTGGGATACCACCTTACACCAGTTAGAATGGCCAAAATTAGCAAGACCGGAAACAACATGTGTTGGAAAGGATGTGGAGAAAGGGGAACCCTCTTACACTGTTGGTGGGAATGCAAGTTGGTGTAGCCTCTTTGGAGAACAGTGTGGAGATTCCTCAAGAAATTAAAAATAGAGCTTCCCTATGACCCTGCAATTGCACTACTGGGTATTTACCCCAAAGATACAGATGTAGTGAAAAGAAGGGCCATCTGTACCCCAATGTTCATAGCAGCAATGGCCACGGTCGCCAAACTGTGGAAAGAACCAAGATGCCCTTCGACGGATGAATGGATAAGGAAGATGTGGTCCATATACACTATGGAGTATTATGCCTCCATCAGAAAGGATGAATACCCAACTTTTGTAGCAACATGGATGGGACTAGAAGAGATTATGCTGAGTGACATAAGTCAAGCAGAGAGAGTCAATTATCATATGGTTTCACTTATTTGTGGAGCATAACAAATAACGTGGAGGACATGGGGAGATGGAGAGGAGAAGGGAGATGAGGGAAATTGGAAGGGGAGATGAACCATGAGAGACTATGGACTCTGAAAAACAACCTGAGGGTCTTGAAGGGGTGAGAGGTTGGGGGAACCAGGTGGTGGGTATTAGGGAGGGCATGTATTGCCTGGAGCACTGGGTGTGGTGCAAAAACAATGAATACTGTTACGCTGAAAAGATATTAAAAAAAAAAAAAAAAGAACATGGTCAGAGAGAACTGCAGACGGGTGTTTGCTCTGGGCTGCTGGCAGAGAATGGGGCCCAAATGCAGGGTCACTGTCTGGTGACCTTCCCAGGCAGTACCTAGTGAGCTCTTGTCTACCCAGAACAAACCACGACCCCAGAGGTGGTTACAAGGGATGGGGAAGCCTCCAGGGACTGTGGTTATCTCTTCCTTCTTCCTTCCCTCCTTCCCTCCCTTCTTCCCTCCCTTCATTCCTTTCTTTTCTTTTTCCTTCTTTTCTTTTCTTTTTTCTTCTCTTTTCCTTCCTTCCTTCCCTTCCTTCTTTTCTTCTTTCTTATTTTTTTAGCAAGAAAGAGCACAAGCAGGGTAAGAGGGGCAGAGGGAGAGGGAGAGAATCCCAAGCAGGCTCCATGAAGCGAGGAGTCCAAAGCAGGGCTTGATCTCATGGCCCTGAGATCATGATCTGAGCCAAAATCAAGAGTTGGTCACTTAATGGACTGAGCCACACAGGCACCCCTAAATCTCTTTTTTTCTAGAAGGTGGGAGCTCAGGCATTCAATGCAACAGCCAGAGCTTCCATGTACACCAGAAGAGGGCTCATCTACACCTCCCAAGAAGCAGAGGCTCTTGGCGCCCAGGATCCGCAAGCTAGCAGTCTCATGCCAGGACAGCGGGATAAGAGGTTGGTGGTTCGGGGTTGGGCTGCAAGAGAGCCAACTCCCAGTCCCGTCGCTCACTAAACTGTGTGACCTCAGGGAAGTGACCTCGTTTCCCAAATCCTTCTCCTATACAAAGGGAATCGCAACCGAACCTACCCATAGGGATGTTGCAGGAATTAAAAAGATGAGTTACGTGAAACACCAGGCACATAATAATGCCCAATTTGTTGGCTATTATTGAATATTACCGGCTTTATAAAAGAGACGCATGTTTATTGTGCAAATTTTGGAAAATAGAAACAGATAATATCACTGAGAAACCATCCCAGCCAGAGGGGTCCATTGCTGACACACTAACCTATTTCCCTCCAGTCATTTCCTGAGGCATATTATAGCCTGTATTTCCAATTTTGTAATCTTGTTATTTAGATGGGTTTTTCAGTCCTGCTTTGCTTTAATTCTTGAAGACTATTAAATATTCCACAGGAATGTGATATACATTTAGGAAATATGCAAGATATAGCAAATAAAGATGCAGGGTGCTGAGTTAAGTTTGAATTTTTAGATAAGAATGAATCATTTTTTAGCGTGAGAATGGGCCCAATATTGCATGGGAGGTTCTTACATCCAGACTCTCACTGGGCACGCCTCACTGTGTCTGACACCCTGTTTATGAGCACAACCACCCCAAGAAGAGGAGAGGGAGCTCTCTGGCCCCAAGATGGCAGGTTCTGGCAGGTTCTGGCAGGTTCCACAAGGTCTCTCCTGTCCCCTTATCTGGGACGCACTGCTCTTTCTCTGGAAGTCTTGTGTCTGTCCTTCTTGTCTTCTTACAATTTGCTTCCCTTGAACTGAATCCCCCGGGACTCAGGCCATGTAGATGGCCCTTCTTCTGATCTTCTGGACCTTTCATGGTGTCCTTCTTTTTAATATTCCTTTGCTCATCTTGAAGAGGATCTGGAAAGAGGCCACTGAAAGGACCAGTCCAGAAGCTCATCCATCCACTGTGTGTGCTTTCCCCAGCAAGTCTGAGGCTGGGTCCTGGGCCCTAAATTCCTGCCTTAGCCAATCAGCCACTGAAGTTCTGGGCCACCGTCCTCACCTGTGCACAGCCCTCTTGCCACTAGCCTGGGAGGGGCACTTACGGGGCCATGCTTCTCAGAGCCTCCCGGCATAGCTGACCCTGCACACAGGGGCCCGCCCCAGACACCACTGTCCTGCTGTACAACCTCTCCGGATGGACCAGGAGCTACAGAGGTTTCACTGCAACTGATCTGGAAGCCAGCATGGGAGTAGCTGTGTCTCTGTCCCTGCCCTGCGCAGAACCACACTCTGTCCTGCTTACCTTGTCACTCAGCCCTGGCTTGGCCCAAGCTTGGGGATGGTGGTGTGGCAGAACTCTGAACTGGGCACAGCCGAGGGACTGCTGCAGCTTCCCCCAACAGCAGGAGAATGGGAGTCCTCAGCCATTCCCGAAAAAGGTAAGAGAAGCTGCTTCCATGATTTGGGGACATGAGACGGTGGCTTGGGTCAGCTCTTTCTTGAGGAAAAGTTCGTGCTGCAAAGGCGCACACACAGTCAGGTTCCAGTGGGACAGACTTGTCCGCACGTTTGGCAGATGCTTTCCTTTTGCTTTGTGTGAGCCTCTGGGAAAAGGCACTTCGGGGTACAAGGACATCCAGGCTGACTGACATGGGCCAGGGGTATGAGGTCCTTAGCTGTTGCTTTCCCAGCCCCGTTTGGACTGGAGGAGAGCTCAGGTTCTCTCCTGGTGGACCCCACATTAGTGGGCAAACAGATGAGAAACCACAGTCCCCAGAGGGACGGCTGGGAAAGGGGAGCAGATATGGATGACTGTTTCTTGTCTGAACTGAGAGTTCCTTCCAGCAACGCCCTCGTCCACTGGTCACCGGGGCTGCCTGTTTAAAATGCAGGCTCTGAGCTGTCCCCCTCAGGAACTCTGATTCAGTGGGTGTGAGATATTAGCCAGGTACCTGCCTCTTTACTAAACTCCATTGAAGAAGCATCAGGGGAGACGGTGAAGGTTGACCACACACAGGTGACCAAAGGGCAGAAAGATTTGAGAAATTCTGTGGTGAAGGAGATCCAGGAGCTGGGCCTCCTGGATAAGTCACCCCACTCGTTAGGCCTCATCTGTCAACCAGCAGCACTGGACTGGGTGACTGGCATTCTGTTGTTCTCCAGGCCCAGGGTCCTGAGGGCTGGGAAAGTTCCGGAAGGATGGGCCTTTCAGGGCTATTCCCCAGGGTCATGGGCACTAGGACTCTGTCTGACTCTAAGGGTCCCCAGAGAGCTACAGGACATCTCCTGAAAGGGACCACCCACAGAGGGGTATTTGGGAAGTCAGGGCCAACTGGAGTGGAGGCATTTTCCTGGTGGAGGCCGTGGGTACTGAATGTCCTACAAGGCACAGGACAGGCCTGGAGAGCGAGGACCTGCCTGCCCCAGGCTGGAGAAGCAGGTCAGAGAGACGTGGCCTGTGTGGTAGCCACAGGCTCCGGAGGCCATCCTAATTCTGGAAGTGCAGCTGAAGGGCCCACTTGGATCTCAGCACTGAGTGACCCCGCCTCACGCCACCAGACACATGGCACTGCCGTCCATGGCTTCTGACAACTGGAGCTCTGAGAAGCGCGTTTATAATGAAGGTATGGCTGCCTCTCTACGTGTATTCCTCTCCCTTCACTGAATGGCAGCAATGCTCTTTGCGATGGGAACTGACCTCCTCTGAGGGATTGGGCCTGACGGGTCCACACACAATACTGTCTCCATGATGTCAGTCATTGGCTCAGTCATCTGGCCAGTTCTGGACAATGAGAGGGCAGGAGAGGTATGGCAGAAATTTCTGGAAAAGTTCTTCCTTGAGCCTTAAAAACAAGCCGCTGGAATCTTTCTCTCTCTGACCTGACGCAGAGGAGGAGGGATGAGGGCTCAGTTGTTCCCAGCTGCCATTCCCCAGTCAACGTGGGATAGAGAACGTAGGGAGGGGAGACAAGGTGAGAAGCCAGGTTTACGATGAGGCAGAGCAGGGAAAGGGGAAGAACCAGGTCCGTTTTGATGTCCCTGAGACCAGCAGGAAGCGCTCCTGACCTTGGGACCTCCCTGGTTGTGAGAAGTACATTTCTGCATGGTTTAAAAAGCAAGAAACTTGTTATCAAAATAATCCCAACTGATACAACCTTCTAAGCCCTCTCTTCTATAATCCCCATGGAAAGGTCCAGAAGAAGGAGAAAAAGAAAGGCCGTTCTGTGGTTGTGGAGTTTACATCAGATAAATCAGAAACTCACTGTGTGAGTCAGAATCCAACCATTACCTCAAACTCGGTAAATGACCCCAAGCGGATCCCTGGTGCCTCCAGGCCAAAGGTGACCGAGTCGTTCCTGCACCCCCCTCCACCCAGCCCAGAGAGGGTCTGCTCACCTCCTCCGGGGTGGAGACAAGCGAGCAGCTGGCTCCTTGGCTGTCAAACCCACTGTCCTTCATGCTGCCGTCGGCACAGGCCGGCTCCTGACAGGCCCCACCAAGGCCCTGGAGGTCGCTGTGCCTCTGTGCCCAGGCCTGCAGGAGACTGGCCTTCCTCTCCTCAGAGAGGTTCTGCCACAGGTGGGAGATGGCAGCAGAGACAATGGGGAGTGTCACCTCGTGTAAGGAGACAATCCCGCTCTCGATTAGAAGGTCCATCGTCTGCTTGTAAAAGTTGAGATACCTGGAACAGAAACAGCATCATCTCCCAGACCTGAAGCCAGTGGCCGAAGGTCTCTCCCCAAGCCGTCTCCTCAGGATTCCGTTAGCAGGCTCTGGTCCACAGCACATGAGCCTTGCCACAGCTCTGCAGGTTACCAGGGGCTTTGCCTTCCTAGTCTGCCTGCCGCTGACCCTTGGAGAGCAGGAGCCATCATGGATGACATAGCTCTTGTCCCCGGGTCCATCCCCAGAGTCCCCATGGAGCTCTCTGCCTGACAGAAGAGAAAACTAGGAGTGAGGCCTGCTCAGTTCTCAGCCCATGGGAAAACCGCTTCAAATTACAAGCCCTATGAATGTGCAGACACATTCTTGTTTTACTTCAGGGCCTGAAATTCAGGCTCAGCTGTGGAAGGACCCTCCTTCTATTGGGCCCCTACCTCCAGAGGCCAACATGGCCACCATGGGTCTTGAGTCTGTAGAGGGGCTGTGCTTGGCCGTCTGCGTTAGTCATTCACCTTGTTTCTTACTATGAGACCAGGAATACAGGTAGGGCATGTGTGTTTGTGTGAATGGGGGTGTTTGGTCCTCATAACCCCCATCAACAGCTCCCCCAAAGTCAACTCCAAATAAGGAAGTTGGTCTAAGGAAGCTCAGTGTATGTGTTGCACGATGCAGCTTCAAGATGATTTCTCTAGTCCCTCTGCCAACCTCATCCCCAACCCCTCCCATATGGAAATTCTGGAGCTTCCTTGATTATGGATCTTGTCTGAGAGTGAACTGAGGACACTGTGTGCCTCCGGCAGAGCCTCTGTCCCCTTCCCCACAGGCTCCATGTGAAGCCACCCTTCCCAGCCGTTCACACCGTTCAAATTCCATGAGGTCCGGCAGCAAGGTGACTGGGGAGTGTAAGAGCTCCACTTTCTTCTCTTCCTCCTCCTCCTCCTCTTCCTCTTCCTCCTCTTCTTGGTCTTCCTCCTCCTCTTTCTCCTCTTCCTCCACTTCAGCATCCTTCCCGACTGCCTGGATTGGGCACCAGGTGGCAGAACCTTTCTGCAGAACCTCATTTGAGACCAGGCTAGTGCGAAAACAGAAACAAGACAACTACGAACTAATGCCCCTCATGAACACCAACACTGAGATTCCGGACACAATTTTAGTATTGGGACCAAGCGGGGCTCGTCCTAGGAGTACAAGATGGCTGGTTCAGACTTCGAATGTCAAGTAGTGGAACTCAACAGAGCAACAGACTAGAGAAGAAAAACCATACGATCATCTGAACAGATACAGAAAAGCACTCGGCAAAATGCAACATCCATTCATAACAAAAACTCTCAGTAAACTAAGTAGAAGGGAACTCCTCCACCTGATAAAGGACACCTACAAAAAACCTAGAGCTAACATCATACTTGACAGTAAGAGACTGAATATTTCCTGCCTAGGTCAGGATCAAGACAAGGATGTCCACTCTTACCACTTCTATCCAAAATCGTACTGGAGAGCCTCACCAGTCCAATAAGGCAAACAGAAGAAATAAAAGATAAACAGATTGGAAAGGCAGAAGTCACACACAAATATGGGACTAGAACTAAGAAGCGTGTTTAGCAAGGTGGCAGGTTACAAGGGCAATAAAGGAAAACCAATAGTGTTTCCACATATTAGTGATGAACAACTGGAAATTGAAATTTTAAGAAGTACCACTTACAACAGCACCCCAAACATGAAATGCTTAGGTTTAAACCATAAGTTCAGTCTGAAAAAGAAAGAGTGGATAAGTTAGACTTTATCAAAATTTTTAAATTCTGCTCTTCAAAAGGCAGTTTTAACAGAGCGGAACGGGGGGTGGTGCAGTTGGGTAAGTGCCCAGCTCTTGGTTTTGGCTTAGGTCGTGATCTCAGGGTTGCGAGATCGAGCCCACGTCACTCCATGCCCAGAGTTTGTTTCAGATTCTCTTTCTCTCTTCCTCTGACCCTCCTGCTCATTCTCTCTCTCTCTCTAAAATAAATAAATAAATCTTTAAAAAAAACAGAATGGAACGACATGATATAATTTGGAAAACCAGGATTTGTACCCCAAATCTCTTCATCCTGATAAGAATAATCCCCAAGGAGGTATCATGTTGAGTCAAAATACAAGTGCACCAGAAGAAAACCGAGGAGGATCCTTCTTAAAAGAGAAAAAAAATTTTTTTCCATTTCAGAGCAGAGGAAGCCTTTCTGAGTACTCTCCCAAGCCTAAGTCATGGGGGCAGGTCGGCAGATTAGATTTCATTTTTTGCATGGCCAAAACAACAACAACAAAACATCAAAAGCAAAATAATAAAACAAATGACCAAGGGATAATTATTTGCAAGTCATGTCCTAAAAGAGAGCTAATTTCTCAGTACATGTAGAGGGCTTCTACAACTATGTGAGAAAAAGACCACCCACCCAACAGGAAAATGGGCAAAAAATAGTTACAAGAGGTTCCCGGGAAGAAATACAAATGTTCTTGAACAAAGGCACTGAATTTCCCTCACAGTATAATTAATTAAAATATAATAATTATGAAATGTAATCTGTTCCTGAGCTGGTGCCATACTTTTCATTGTTGCGGGTTTAAAATACTGATAGTGAAAAATCCCAATTATTATGATTTTAAAAGAAATTTAGCCATTCTCATGTGGGCCCATGATGTAAGTATTGGTAAGATTTTAGTATGGGATAAAGCGTATATCTTAAATCGGTAAGGAAAGGATGGCTTATGTGATGAGTGGGGCTGGGATCAGTGGCTAATCATTTGGGAAACCCCAATGCAACTGTCTGCCTCGCTGAGACCACCTTGCCCATCGCGAGGTGACGCTTGGGAATCTTACCTGAGATTGTCAGAGTACATGTTGGCGTATTCTGCCTTGACCTCCTCTAAGCTATTTGCATTCCCATCCTCCAGGTTGAAGGACTCTGTTGGGAAGCGAAGGCAAGGGTCGCAAAGGGGGAAGTCTGGTCTTTGTCAAGTCTCTCCCACCCTCCCGATTCAGGTGGACCGTGAGTGGTCCCTGAACACCCCCCCAGATTCAATATAAGAGAGTCAAGGGTCCAGTTTCCCCTCTCCTTCTAGATGTGAGCTTCTTGAACTGGCCCTTCTCAATCAAGACACCGCAATATCCCGTTCAGAGCTCAGTTTTCACCAGCTTCTGAGACCCGGCTTCCCAGGCCACCGCCTGTCCCAGACTGAGTGCCAAGAAAGGGAGCCATGTTTTTGGCTTTGCTGTTGAGTGTGACAAGCGCCGGTCTGTGTCCTCTCTGGTCTCTCAAGATGGGATCAGGTACCTGATAACATCTGTCTGTCCTGCCCGACTATAAGGTCCCCAAGGGCAGGGGCATGACTTCCCTTGTACCCCTGGGCCTAGCCCAGCGTCTGGCACACGGTAGGCATGCAGTGAGTATCTGTTTGCTTGGCCTAAGGCACTCTCTTTGTTTTCGATGGAAAAACCAACCAGTCTTTCCATGGGAAGGAGATAGGGGTGGCGGATGGGGGTCTATCACCTTTCAGCTTCAGCAGGTTATCCAAGGTTTCTTCCAGCTCCTGGATGTGGTTCTTCGCCTTATTCAAAACCTGCCACTGAGGACAGAGACAGACACTGATGCAAAGCCAGCCTTCCACCACCCAGTCTGTGGTTTGGGGGACACAGGAGTCCGTTCCCGGTCTGAGGCCATCCTCCCTCAGAGGCCAAGCCACATTCCTTGACATTGTCAACAAAAAGGGTGGGAAGTGTGTTCGGACGCACAGAAAGCATGAAGTTTAATTTGTATTCTGGAAATGGTTCTCCCAGAAATACTCGAATGTTTAGAAATAAGCCGTGTTCGGCAAACTACTAGGGCTTCAAAAGGGCAAGCAACCATATACGCTTCTCCTCGAAGGTGTAATGAACAAGGAGTGCAAAGCAGCTCCGAGTGCAGGGGGTGGGGGGACGGGGGATGCAGAGACAAACACACACAGAGGGAGGACGAGGTGAAGACACAGGGAGAAGGTGGCCATGTGATCGGAGGGCAGCATCTCTAAGCCATGGAACGGTGAGGAATTGCCAGCAAACACCCAAGGCTGGGAGGCAGAAAGGGCTTCTCTCAGAGGGAGCGTGGCCCTGTGGACACCTTGATTTTGGACTTGGAGCCTCCAGATGTCCACCACAATAACTTTCTGTTGCATCAATCCACCCAGTGTCTGCTATCTTGTTACGAAAGCGCTAGGAAACTGACAGGACCTGCTTACACCTGACTCCTGTAGCTCAGATCCTGCCTTCTTGGATCTTACAAAAGCAAACTTCAGGGTTGTCCCTCCAGCAGGACCCAGACAGGAGGAGAACAGAGAGAACTCCTGGTCTGCACACTGTTTCCCAGCTGTGCCGTTCAGGCAAACGGTTTGACTTCCTCTGATGCCTCCGTTTCCTCATCTGTAAAATGGGGTGATCTGAATGGAACTGCAGGGACTAAATGAGCGAACACGCTGGGAAGCAATGCTAACACTTAAACCACTCTGATGGCGCCACACCTTTGCACACAGCCACCTCATGAGAGGCCACCACGGGCCCCTGAGGACCCCGTTACTATCGTGCCTGTTTAACAGATGCGGTAAGTGAAGCCTGGCCCGGAACATGTCTCCCGCGGATGGAGGCCAGTCCACCAGGTTTTCAGCCACCACGTCGTGAGGTACAAACCGTAGCAGGTACAGGTGAGTTTTCCTCTACATTTACTTCCATTCCTTCCTTTGGGGCTCTGAACGCGTGGTCTTTCTCTGGTTACACCCCCAGTCTGTGTGCATTTCTTCACGGGCCAGTGACAGGGACTTTGGGGTTTTCCACGGACCCCTGGGAACAGGCAGCCTATTCCCGTCCATCCAGGGGACATGGTGCAGAGCCATGCTAGACAGGCTCTTGGCCCAAAGCCCCTGCGCCTGGCTCAGCGGAGGGAGGAGGAAGAGCCCGCCCCACACCTCTCACCTTCCACGCCCTTCTACGAGAGCAGGTGGGATCCCTGCTCGGATTCTTTCGGTGGAAAAACGTTCACACCCCTCCTTGGCACCTTGCACCAAGGTGCTCAGGGGGCCGCCACTAAAATCAAGACACATTCCCAGACGCCCTGGCTCTGAGCACGAGGCCCGGAGCTGGAAACGGAGGCTCTTCTCCTCGTCCTGCCCCCAGCCATGTTGATGCATCCTTTCTGACTCCAGTCCCTCCTGTTATGAGAGGGCAGGGAACAGGCTCTCAGAGCCCCCTTCCCTGCTGGAAACCTCCTGTCACGCTCCTCCAATGATAGCAGCTCATGCCTTCCAGCTTCACCCAAAGCACTTGGACCTTCCTCCATGGTCTGCTGGAGGCACGAGTAGGCAAGAAAGAAACCACAGAAGGATAGAGGTGAAATCAAGAGCAGGAAAAAGTACATGCTGACCTGGAGAGCTCCGGTGCCTGCGGAAGAGACCTGGTTGGTGGACAAAACCAAGCTGCACGTGTGTGTGTGTGTGTGTGTGTGTGTGTGTGTGTGTGTGAGTGATGGAGATGGCAGCGTCCAGAAGCTGCTGCCAGAGACTCACCCCGTCCACTGGAGGGCTAGGCTGGCCAGTCCCTATTATTTCCCTTCCAGTGCCAGGCCTGTCTGCCCCAGGTGGGGAAGGCCCAGCTCCTGCTGTACCCACGTGCGGCCACAAACAACCGATCGGAGATGCCCACAGCGGATCCCTGACCCACCCGGGCTGCTGCCCTTGGGGAGGGGAGAGCTGGAGTGGGAGCCGGGCCAATCCCCCCTCCCCTCACCCCACAGTCCCTCCCTGTGTGGAGACTGTTTCTCCTACACCCAGCTCCCCATACCTTCGAGGCTGTGAGATCGGAATGGGAGTAAACTGTTTTCCTGAGGCTGCTGAACAGCCTGGCCAGCGTGGCTCGGTGGCGGGCCTGGGACAGGCGTCGGCGGGCCACCCGTGGCTCGAGCTCCTGTAGCTGTGCCAGGGGCCAAGGGGGCGCTCTGCCACTGGGGTTTCCGCCTTCTCCGGAGGTCGCCATGGGAAGCTGCAATGTAATAGTACACCCTTCGGGGGCCCTAAATAATAAAGATGCAGTGTTAAAGAAAGAGGAAGGCAAGATCGAAGGAGAAAGAAAGGGGTTACCATTCCCAAGGAACGGGGCCCCAACCAGTGAATACAAGCAATAACAGATACCCAAAAATAGATGACACAAAATCCATTATTTGAACTGGACTCCTTGTTACGAAACACAAACCACTCCTATTTGACTCAACAGCCAAAGGGTGCTTCAGACGGGAAAGTTTCCGGAACACTGCTGGTAATCACCACACACTTGTTAGTTGACAGGCGGTGGCTGAGGAGAGCCAGCCGGGCCCTGAGACCTCATTCCTCACAGTCTGTGCGACGCTGAGCAGGCCCATGCCCCCCCACCCAGGACTTGCCCACCATGGGAATCACCCCTCTGTGATGTGGGTAGTGGTTACACAGCTATTTATACAAAAGGAGATCCATCTGTGTTCCTTGGAGTCATGAACCTTTTAATATGTAATATTACATATATCTGATATCTCAAATAGAAGAGATGCAGCCTTCTACCTGTGAAAGCAAAAAGTCATATAAGGACAGAGAAGTGGAACCAGGCTTGCCTTGTCCTGCTTCTAATGGGTTCTGAAGATGATACTTATGTTGTCTCTTGTCCCATCTGAGTTTACAAACCAGGAACCCTTCCCAAGGAGAGGTGATTCCAGGGCTGATACAGAACAGTTTTAACAGAAGACAGGGACTGGAGTCTCTTACCTGAGCCAGGGACCCCGCCTTCGGGTGCTCACCCCACCACTCAGAGGACAGGCAGCTCTGTGAACAGAGGGCCTGCATCTTCATCACCCCTGTCCCCCCAAGAGGTGTTCAGGGCTGGGGTTTTGAGTGAATTGCAACGGGAGCCCTCCGCTGGGTCCACGCGGCCCTGAGCTCAGTCCGGCTGCGTGGGGACCACGCACGACCTCAGCCAGGGGCCTGCCATTTCTGATGTGTGCCAGTCCACTGGGGGGCACTGGAGGAAATACACAGGCCCAGGCCCCACTTCAACAACACCGGCTCTGAATCTCACAGGGTAAGCCCAGGCATCTGGGGGGCAGCCTGCTCCCCAGCTGATGCAGCCATGTTCACGGTTGGAGCCACTGCGAGGCACACACAGCGACACGTCTCTCCACGAACCACAGCTGGGAGCTGGGAATGGATTCTCCTCCGTAGAGGGAGGAACCAGGGGAGGAGGCTTGAAAAAGCTTTCCCGCTAAGCTCTGGGGGGAGAATTCAGCCACAGAGACAGAGAAGCCGACCAGGCAGTGTGGGATTTTAAAATACTACTTAGGATGGGGCGCCTGGGTGTCTCTGTTGGTTAAGTGTCTGTCTTCAGCTCAGGTCATGAGCCCGGGGTCCTGGGATCGAGCCCTGCATTGAACCCCGCATCGGGCTCCTTGCTCCGTGGGGAGCCTGCTTCGTCCTCTCCCTCTGCCTGCCGCTTCCCCTGCTTGTGCATGCTCTCTGCCAAATAATTACACAAAATCTTTAAAAAATAAGATAAAGTAAAACACCATTTAGGGCAGAAAGCGAATCTCCTTTGAACACTGTACTCTCCTCCAGCGGCGTATCTGCCCTCGCTTTGCTTCTCAGGACAATGTCGGAAGTGGGTGCCGCTGTGGGGGTCTGCCCTGACCTTGAAGTTCCTATAACATTTATTACCAGGAAAGGCACCATCAGCACGTGGAGGGCAGCCGTGGACTCCATGCAGGCCCATCCAGCCTGGGGACACATCTTTAATGGGAGGCAAAATGAAACAAGGGAAGTTTTGAACGGCCTAGAGAGCAATGGGAACCTTTTGAACCTAAGAACATAGGTTTTCTGTATTTGCTTAAATTTTGGAGAAATGAATGTGCCTGGACCCCAGGGAATGTAGGTCAATGAACAGAGGTAAAAATGCCAGGGTTCTCCCAAGATATAGAATTCTTTAATGAACTCAGAATACTGACACCAAAGGTCCCGGGCTTGTGGGGAATCTGGAGTTCTCGAGGTGCCGATGCTGATACTTTGGCTTTCCTCCCAGGCTTCCACCCAGACATGCTCCACCCAAATTCCTAAATGGCTGTGTGGTTTCAGTCCTGTGTGAGCGTGCAGCTCCCTGCCTCTCCCACAGGGGACAGACCCTCCCGTTACTTCTACCCCAAGGGACAGCATTCACTGCCTGCCACCGGGGGTGAGGACGGTCCCAGATCATCCTGCCCACCTCAGTCCAGAGTCAGAAGCTCTTGAGGTGGGGGGGGGCGGGGGGCAAGCCGCAGGGATGGTGAGACGTATTAAGCAGATATTAAGCCTGATATTAAGGCTGATAAGACCTCACACAGTTGTAAATGTCTACTCCTAATTGCTGCGTCCTGCTCTCTGCTAGGAACGATCTGCTGTGATCTCCAGAAGGCATTCTTCTCGAGGTATCTTTGTCGACTTGCGCTGGGGACCTGACGGGAGCTGAGGTGGGTATTTTTCAGACCGAGCTCTTTGTTGCCATCAAACAGGGAGGGTCTGTGCCGTCTGCACCTGTGACAGGGGTGGCTCGCCCAGGAATGAGTACCAGAGAAGCCACGAGCCCTGCATTGAACCCCACATCGGGCTCCTCGGTGGGGAGGGGAGGCAGGACCCTCCTCCTGCCTTTTTCCCAGGTTGGCTCTTTTGCTAGAAAAGGGAGAACTAACTGGAAAAATGAGGTTGAGAAGGGATGTTTTCTTTAATACAGAACAAAACAAAACAAAACCTTTTCTCTTAAATGTCCTGTGCGGGTGCCAAGCATGCTAAGGAGACAGCCCCCATCGGTGTAAGGAATTAGAGCAGTGTAGAGAATATACTCTGAGCTGTCATCCCCAAGGCCTGGAAATCTGCATTTTAAGAGCAGCCACCGCCCCCCCCCATTTTCCCTTCTCTCACTACCAGCAACAGAAACATGTGCTCTCCTGCCCACCATCCTCTATTCTGCGGCCCACTGCCTGTCCTCCCACCGGGGACGCGGCCCCTCTCTCTGTCCCCCACCCCCAGTCTCTACCTATGGAGAGCCAAATTGCCCTTCAATACCTAGGGTAGGCCCCATCTCCTCTAAGAAGTCGCCCAGTCCCATCCACACCAGTTTCTAACTTAATTTTGTTTTGCCAACAAATTAGTAAGATCCTTGGTCAGGGTTCACATATCCAGCATCTAAATTATCCCTCCCCAGGTCGAGTCAGAACAGGGTAATGACAGGATAGGATTAAGAAAAGACTCTGGGGGCAGGGAATAACAGCTAGTCTGACCCAAATCCGAAAGACCACTCTGGAGCCTAAACATTAGATCTCTTGAATTCAGTTCTCAGCCAGACTCACAGTGAGAGGCACGCATTTGAGAAGTTTAAAAAGCTTTGGAAGGGAACGCTGGCCAGTTGTCCCATAAGATGGCTGGGGAGGGATTACCCGGGGCAAGAACATGGATATCCTATTCTGACTCAGGAAACCTGCCATGTTCGGAGGCTGAGTTTGAATGTCTGGGCAACTAAAATGTGTGCGAATCTAGGGAAGTCAGTACAGAGCTGGTAGGTGGAGGGAAGCTAGTCCTAAGGACCCACAGTGGGTGGGGTGATGCCTGATGCCATACCTGGAGATGGTACCGGCTAGTGAGATAAACTGGTGTAGGGAAAGGCAGGCTGGAGTGGGGATTGGCTCAAGATCTGGGCTGTAATTCCAGCTCTGTGTTAAGCAGACATGTGACTTTATATAAGCCAAGAAGCCTGAGGTCTTAATGTCTTTATCGGAAGAAAGGAGGGGAGAAAGCCTTTCACAAGATTGTAGTTTAAACTCTTCAGCCTCTCTAAGGTCATTGTCACGATTCTATGACTATCTGGGGCAAAGGCACGCAGCACAGGCGGCTCATATCCCATGAGACATGGATGGAGCCCAGAGCTGTCCCCTAACTGTGTCCCCTAACTGGTCCCACAGCAGCATGGGAAGCTGCATCTGAAGGAATTCTGGGCGCTGTGGCCCCAGGGACAACTGTTCACTGGGCACTTTCTCTGTGCAAACCCCATTCATGCTGCAGGAAACTGGGGCCAAAGATTCTAGTCATTTCAGAACGTGCAGATCTCTGATATACATTCCCTTTTAAAAGCTCTTTACTGTGTTCAAACCTGTTCATCAGATTAGTGTGCTAAGCACACTCTTCAGTCTAACAAAGTCAGAGGACCACTGCCTCCATGCATTCTTCTGGAAAGGCACTATGACGATTCACATGGTCATGCCTTATCTTTTATTATTTCTCATCTATAAGGGAAAGCATACTTACATTACCAAATACTTGGGTATTAAAATGCAGCTTAATACCCATTGGAGCTGACATTTTAAAAACTCCCTAGATGAATTTTTTTAAAAATATGACCTCACCCTCTCTGAGACTCAGAGAAATTTTCATCATTTTTAAGCACCACTCCACAAAACATCTGAGTGTGGTTCTCTTCAGCAAACCCTAGGCAAACGTACACAATACGCTGGATAATGTTTTGCAACCCACAGGCATCTTCCTTTGGTTCACTATGCTTATCAGACCTTGTCAGAGAAAAAAATCGAAAATCATCCTCAGAACGGTCTGGTTTGTGGTGGTGATACAAACGCTCACTGCAAGCCTGGCCCCAGACCTCAGTGGTCGCCCGCTTGGATCCGCAGGCATGGATCCACCACACGTACGGGAACAAGCACATGGCCGAGGGCGCCTTGCCAAAGATGCTCAGGCACGGGACCTGCAGCGTTTAGTCCATAGTCACGCGCCGAGGGAGGGAGGCAGGCACCCGGGCTCACGACGTCCCCCCTCCCAGGACATGCGGGAGGCCACCTGAAGCCCTGACACCCATGACAGTTGTCCCGAGGGCCAGCCAGCCTGCGGACTATGGCTCCGCCCCAGCTGGGAGACAGACCCGGCTCCTGGGCACTGGGCGCGGGCCAATCAGAGCGTGTCTCCGGCCCCCACAGCCAATGGGGATGCTTGGTG